AGCCTGCTCTCTCTTGCAGAGACATTTGGAGTAACACACCTCCAAGTTGATCTTGTCCGTGCATCAGTCATTAGAGGCTTGGGAGTTGGATGGGTTAGGAAACTCAAGCCTTGGCTCTCTGAGCTCGAGTGAATTCCTTAATGTCTAGTCCTCAGTCTATAAAAATCATGGTGCCTGGCAATAGTTGCTGTATCAACACCGGTGTGAAAACTTCCCGACCCCCTCAAGATGGGTTAGGTATTTGCCCTGTCTGTGCTCCCTTTTATAACACCTGTCACACTATATCACCTTTTATAACACCTGTCACACTATATTGCACTTTGTTGCTTTCATGAGTCTGCTTCTTGCACTGAATCTTGAACTCCTTGCAGGTAAAGACTTGGCAGTTACACTTGGAAACTAGAGAATGCCCTGAGTGATGCAGAATGTACCTATGCAAATCACCATTTTCCTATTTCTTGTGTCCAGGACTTATGCTGAAAATGACTGCCATACTGAAAGCATCAGTGTTCGGGTCGCTGTAACGTTTCTTATAAATTGCACCAGACTTTCACATACTATTAACAAGAAGGAATGTCTTCTAGGAAGATACTCCCAATTCCATTTCCAAACTATAGTGACCATCATTAAAAGGATAAATCACAAGATAAAAATAAGGTATGTAAAAATTTAATGCAAGATACATTCTGCTATGATATTCCGATAAATAAAACAAGGTTATCTTTATTCTGCAATATAACATGTTTCCTATTTTCCTTGGTGACTAAAATATATCTACTTATTCTCAAGTATATTTCAGTTTATGACCCTTCTATGGGAAAAATGCCTAAATTTTAAAAATATATTTTATTGATTTTTCACAAAGAAGAAGGGAGAGGGAGAGAGAGAGAGTTAGAAACATCAATGAGAAACACTGATCAGCTGCCTCCCACACACCTCCCACTGGAGATGTGCCCGCAACCAAGGAACGAATATATATATATATATATATATATATATATATATATATATATATGTAATCTGGAATATATATATATTCCAGATTACAGTTATAACTTAAAATAGCAAGATAAGCTACTTATGAATGCATATTAATATGAAAAATACTGATTTGTAAAAACTGATTAAAAGTTTTCTTTGGAGGAGAGAACCATCCAGTGATAATTGTTATTATTTGAGTCTTTTGTCTAGTGATAAGGTCAAAGCAGCACAACTTCAGGTGGTTTGAGAATGAATGGTGGCAGAATTGATCTCCCCACCTAGAACCCAAACCGAAGTATCATTTCTGAAGATTGATTGAATTTAAAAAAATAATAATAATGTACATATACTGACAATGTCTCATCAGTTCTGGCTGCTATAACAATATACCAGAGATTGGGTGGCTGATAAATCACCACAATTGATTTCTCACAGTTCTAGAGGCTGGGGGATAAGGTCAATGTGCCAATAAGTTTGGTGTCTGTTAAGTGCCTCCTTACTGATCCATAGATAGCCATACTCTCTGTGTCCTCACATAGTGGAAAGAGTGAGAAAGTTCTCTGGGGACTCCTTTATAAGAGCACTAACCTCATCATGAGGGTTCCGCCCTCATGATATAACTACCTCCCAAAGGCCATCACTTTGAGGGTTAGGATTTCAACATATGAACCTTGGATGGGGGCAGGGGGGGGGAGGGAGGGGCAGGCACAAACAGTTCATAAACACAAGAATACATTACTATATATATGTAAAGTAGCCGGGATTGTTTATATGTACTACTTATATGGTGAAATTAGAGCTTATTCATTTAAATGAACTATCCACTTTGATCAATAATGTTATATATGAACAACTTAACAAAGTTGAATTAAAAATACAATAAAACATTAAGTTAAATAACTATCAGGTAAATAATGCTGTTTCTTTTAGTGACAAAGAAAACTACCCAAAGCAATTAAAATACTGTACTTTTGCTAATATCATGTCCCCCCGAAAGACATCGGCCTAAACTTTTTTGAGGTGGATGCCTGGTTTTAGAATAGCCAACATTACCCTACCCCCGTGGTCGGCAAACCACTGCTCGCGAGCCACATGCGGCTCTTTGGCCCCTTGAGTGTGGCTCTTCCACAAAATACCACGGCCTGGGCGAGTCTATTTTGAAGAAGTGGCATTAGAAGAAGCTTAAGTTTAAAAAATGTGGCTCTCCAAAGAAATTTCAGTCGTTGTACTGTTGATATTTGGCTCTGTGGACTAATGAGTTTGCCGACCACTGACTGCCCTACCCCCTTAGCACTGGGAAAGGGGAAAGGGACTGGCAGCTTGCCCCATTGGTGATGTCAGCAGATCATGCCCTGGTTTCATAGAAACAGGTGAGCTGGAGCTGGGGGGGGGGGCGGCGGGACGGACAGGTAGTTATTTCCATTCTTGCTTTGCTTCACTAGTAAAATCCTTATGAGTTTTCCATTCACTTTCTGATCTACATGGTAGGATATCTCACAAAGTTTACAGACACATTCTCTACTCAAAACAACTAATAGAAATAAAAGCTCATTAAACAAATATTAATATTACAAAGATGGCTTTATTGATCTAGCATCATTTAATGAAGATGAGCAGCAATTCAAATACAAAATTCTTTCTCAAGCCCTTTGACAGATCTTACCCCCTTCGGGGCTCGGAAGGTACCAGTAAAACACTTTTGGAGACATAAAATACATAACCTGTTTCCTGATAGGGTGTCTCAGTAGCCAGAGAATCTCTGTTATCCCTTTTGGGGGGCAGATAACAAAGGCATGCATGAAACTACGCCCCAGGGCAGTTTCCATAACCTCCTCAGAGAAGGTGACCAAACATGTATTATGCAAATATACATACAGGACTTGGCTGAGAGCGAATAGGGTTCGGTTAATAATTACACCAGAACACGAGGTGTAAGTAAATCAGGAGTTGTAAACGGAGAAACACCCTATAAACACAGAGCTGGGCAAAAGTAGGTTTACAGTTGTTAGGATGCAAAACACTGAGTTTATCTTATACTTAAATTTATTAATTATTGCATTATGTTCCATGCAGACAACTGTAAACCTATTCTTGCCCCACCCTGTATAGTTAACCCTTCAACAATGCAGGGCTTGGAGCACTGTCATCCTTGTACAGTCAAAATCTGTGTATAACTTCTGACTCCCCCAAAACTTAACTACTAATAGCCTACTGTTGACTAGAAGCCTAGCTGATAGCAAACCATTGATTAATACATATTTTGTGTATTATATACTGCATTCTTTCAATACAGTAAAGGAGAGAAAAGAAAATGTTAAGGCAATCATAAGGAAGAGAAGATATTTCCAGTACTGTAGGTATTTATTGAAAAAAAATTACGTGTAAGTGGACCCACGCATTTCAAATGCAGTTCCAGGGTCGGTCAACTGGACACCCTTTGTACCTCTTAACATATAAGGGCAATCAAGTGTTCGATACATTGCTTCTGGCTCCAAGTTGGGAGACTCACAGCAATAGAATTTTGCATTAAGAGTTTGCAAGAGGCCTAGGAGGGAAGCTTGTGTGAGAGGAATAATGCATATCTTGGGTGTTTACTCTTTCGAATACAACTATGGTTTGAAACAGATCAATTGAGGTAAACACCCCACCCCTCATTTATCTTTTTAAGAAGTATATTCATTTCCCAAGGTATACTTGCTTCCCTTTCCCAGAAAAGGCATGCATCCTAGAAGCAAATGCCTTCACTGCCCCTTCCAACCTTATTTAGGGCAGATATAGCCCCCTAAGTATACATATACAACTTCAATTCTATCTTTTCTTCTTACTGAATTACTATTGATTTTTAATTAATAATACACATAGCATAAAAGTTATCATCTTAACTTTTTTCAGTGTATGGTTCAGTAGTGTTAAGCATATTTATCCAACTATATCTTGCAGACCAGATGACTAGCATATTCATGAAAGAAAAACTACTAATGAATGCAATATTGAGTCTGAACACAGGCTTATTGGCCTTGAGAAACATCCCAAGATATTTACAAGCAAGGACAACAGTGGCATGGATTCCATGGAATGTGTAGAATTACCTAGAGTTTAGCCTGCCTGACAAGTTTCTCCTCCATTACTGTAGCAAAAGTTTTCTATGCCACTGTTCAAGCTGGGAGATTTATTTTGATCATCTGTCTTGCCCAGAACATCAACTAAGGAAATAAATAAAGTCCATACAGCTTTAAAAGGAAGCTAAGATTGTTTTGTCTTTGTGGAAAAATATTATCGTAGTCTATGAAACAGTGTACAAATAATGCAAAATATTATAAACTATAGATTATATTACTAGTCATTTGAAAAATACTTCCATAAATATGTTATGAAAGAATTCTAAGTTTGAGGCACTTCAAGCATTTTCTTTAAAATGTTCTACACTACATATGCTTTCTATATGACCAGGCCTTTAAGTAAAATATCTGATCTTCAGAAATGCAAAAAGATTTTCAGATATCAGTAAATCTTTGTCTTCCTAGATTACAAAATATTTTTTCTGTATCATAAACTGACAGTAAGAAAGCAAGCAAATCCTGTGCTTGTAAGTTAACTAAAGATCAGAGCAAGTATGCTCAGTGAGAAGGCCTTAAAAAAGAAAATTCATCCATGTTTTGAAATAAAATATACCTAAAATCATGGCCAATTGTCAGCCAGCAAGTACCAGTTTGTGCCTTACCAGTGGTTCAATATTTTGATTGTCATCCCTACTTACAACTGTATATAACCACTAACTGATGATATAAAAAGACAGCTCAAAAATGTCAGACAGTAAAAGACATTCTAAAAGCCAACTTGTGTTTCTTGTTGCTACTTCAGTGATAAACATCGTTATCAATAAAAGACTGAAGGAGCACTACCAATACCAAAAAATGCACCTCTATACTTAGTATTAAACGCAGGTGTTTAGAATAGTATTAACAGTTTTGGAAAACCTATTATGTATTAAAGCAAAACACCACCTACATATGGGCGTCTTAGGGGCTAGCTTGGCTGGTCGATGGCTTGGATTTTGCTTGTATGTTGAGGATGTAATCATGACGGAAGGATGAGCGGACAGTGCGGTTCATGAGGGGCTGCAGGGGGCGGAAGTTGTCCACCATTCTTTTCTCTTTCTCCCCCTCGGAAGTGAAAAGCAGGGTCCGAAATTGCTCAAGCTAGAAATAGAAGCAGGAAGCATAAATAATTTAAATGGAAAAACAGCTTCACCGCATTAATAAATTACTTTCATTTTTATGACTCTGAAACATTCCTCTACAATGGGACACAGCAGAACTTATGCTGGGTAGGAAGGCCTTCAGCATTGGCCAGGGAGGAAGATGTGTGGAGAGGATAGCAGCAGCAGGTGGTGAAACCAGCCGGCCCCTGACCAGTTTGCTGAGTGGATAGAGCTTCGGCCTGGGGACTGAAGGGTCCCAGGTTCAGTTCTGGTCAAGGGCAGGTACCTTGGTTGTGGGCACATCCCCAGTAGGGGATGTGCAGGAGGCAGCTGATCAATGTTTCTGACTCTCTATCCCTCTCCCTTCCTCTCTGTAAAAAAATCAATATATATATATATTTTTTTTTTCTTTTTTTTTCCCCCTCATTAAACTGTTATTTTAATGGGTCTCAAAATTCTGTGACAGATTTTTGGTCATGTTGTTTCCATTAAAAAGTACTGATTTTAAAAACTAATAACTTAAAAACTGCCACACACACAAAAGAACGAAATGGTCCACAAAACATTCTCCTTTCCTTCTGAAGGTTTTACGATGCATTGTAATCCTTAACCAGTCTTTTACTATTAAACTTAAATGGCCAATTGAGACAAACAGTTCTGAGACCGTTCTTCCACCACTGATTAAGACTGGGGTGGCAGCTGTTGGGAATAATATTCATTTAGCCTTCTGAGCTTTCTGGGCAGACTTGGTGACTTTGCCAGCTCCAGCTGCCTTCTTGTCCACTGCTCTGATGACACCCACAGCAACTGTCTGTCTCATGTCACGAACAGCAAAACGGCCCAGAGGAGGGTAGTCAGAGAAGCTCTCAACACACATGGGCTTGCCAGGAATCATATCAATGATGGCAGCATCACCAGATTTCAAGAACTTGGGGCCATCTTCCAGCTTTTTCCCAGAACGACGGTCAATCTTCTCCTTCAGCTCAGCAAATTTGCAAGCAATGTGGGCTGTGTGACAATCCAGCACAGGTGCATATCCAGCACTGATCTGGCCTGGGTGGTTCAGGATAATCACCTGAGCTGTGAAGCCAGCTGCTTTCATTGGTGGATCATTTTTTGCTGTCACCAGAGACATTGCCACAGCGAACATCTTTGACAGACACAGTGTTGACGTTGAAGCCCACATTGTCCCCAGGAAGAGCTTCACTCAAAGCTTCATGGTGCATTTCAACAGACTTTACTTCAGTTGTAACATTGACTGGAGCAAAGATGACCACCATGCTGGGCTTGAGAACACCAGTCTCCACTCTGCCCACAGGGACAGTACCAATACCAACAATTCTGTAGACATCCTGAAGGGGCAGACGCAGGGGCTTGTCAGTTGGGCGAGTTGGTGGCAGGATGCAATCCAGAGCTTCAGGCAGTGTGGTTCCACTGGCATTGCCATCTTTACGGGTGACCTTCCATCCCTTGAACCAAGGCATATTATATAGCACTTGGCTCCAGCATGTTGTCACCATTCCAACCAGAAATTGGCACAAATGCTACTGTGTCCGGGTTGTAGCCAATTTTCTTAATGTAGGTGCTGACTTCTTTAACAATTTCCTCGTATCTTTTCTGGCTGTAGGGTGGCTCAGTGGGATCCATTTTGTTGACACCAACAATCAGCTGTTTCACACCCAGAGTGTAGGCCAGAAGGGCATGCTCACGGGTCTGTCCATTCTTGGAGATGCCTGCTTCAAATTCACCGACACCAGCAGCAACAATCAGGACAGCGCAGGCGGCCTGAGATGTGCCTGTCATCATGTTTTTGATGAAGTCTCTGTGCCCTGGGGCATCAGTGATGGTCACATAATACTTGCTGGTCTCGAATTTCCCCAGGGAGATATCAATGGTGATACCTCGCTCCCGTTCGGCTTTCAGTTTATCCAAGGCCCAGGCATACTTGAAGGAGCCCTTCCCCATCTCAGCAGCCTCCTTCTCAAATTTCTCGATGGTTCTTTTGTCGATCCCACCACATTTGTAGATGAGATGGCCGGTAGTGGTAAACTTGCCGGAATCTACGTGTCCAATGACGACAATGTTGATGTGAGTCTTTTCCTTTCCCATCTTGGGTTTGAGTTAATGGTGGTTTTCACGACACCTGTGTTCTGGTGGCAAACCCGTTGCGAAAAAGCAATAAAATATATTTTTAAGAAAAGAAAAAGAAACCAGCCGGCACTTGGAACCCAAGGACTACAGTCCAAGGCACTTGGAACCCAAGGACTACAGGTCCCCCACATATTGGCCATTTGCCAAGAATAAGTTACTTCATCTTTGATTCCAGGAATCTCATCTTGAAATAGTTAAAACAGCAGCTCACTGAATGAAAAAGGAAAGGCCTGGTACATAGAGTAACAGCACCAAAAATGTTTTTGTAGTCTGTTGATTGTTGTTTTTTGTTTTGTTTTTCCTTCAAATTTTAACTGAATTGTTAACACAATGTATCCTTGATTGCTTACCACGCCTGGACATGGGATGCTCCTTGCTCACCATGTCCAATAGAACTTTCTGAAACCATGGCAAGGTCCTCTGCAGTCCATTAGGGTAGACACAAATCATAGATAGCTTCCGGGCGCTTGTACTGTGGCCAGTGTGACTAAGGAAGTGATGTTTTAATTTAATCTTCACTTTAATGGATCCATATTTAAATTTAAATGGCCACATGGGGCTAGTGGCCAATGTATTAGACACAGCAGCTCAACACAAAAGGAGCAACCCCAAACTAAGGGTTCGTGAGTGTGGCAATATCATGAATCAGTAGCACCTTGGCTTTCTGGGTAACTATGGGGTGGACTCAACTTCAAGCTAGCTGAAAAACCTATCCACAACCTTTCTCATTATTCTGTCAGGTGCAGTACAGCTTGAAGGACAACCTGGGGCATAGTGGAGTTGCAGAGGTAGCATTGGGACCAGAGGCAAGCACCAAACAGTTACCCTACTTACAAATTACACGTATACCCTCAATATGCCCTCATTAAATAGAAATGTGTCCAAGTAACTAAGGTTATTCTGTTTTGTTTTGTTTTGTTTTGTTTACAAATTGAAAAGATTAGAAATAGCCCAGACAGCATTAGATCTATAAAATGGATTGGTACAAAGCCATTAAAAATAATACCAAAGATAATGATTATTATCTACAAAGTATTCCACACATCACAGAGTGAAAAGAGCAGCAAAATGGTTCATATAGAATGATTCCATTTTGTTTAAATAAAAAAAATACATATATTTATACAGATAAGAAAGCTGAAGGATTTTTCCAAACAATGATTAACACTGAGTGGTTAGGTTATAAGTGACTAGGATTATAGATGACAGCTCTATCTTTTTGTTTTCTGTTGAAATTTTATTTCCAAAGTCCTCCATATAGGACATTGACCAAATGGTTTCTTTATTTTATTTATTTATTTTTCAGTGTCATGTCAATTTTTAAATATGAATTTTTAAATAGTAGCAGGTTAAACGTATAGGCCACTAAGCCCAGACTTATGGGCAAAATCTGTATTTTGCCATTGGTTTTTAATGGATTTCATCACACAGAATTTAAAAAAATACAGTCTTAATTCACTAGTTGCTTTCTTTATTATTTCTGGTTTTGACATATAATTAGAAAAACTTCCTCCATTTGGAGATAAAGGGGAGCAGAATTTGTGATTCCAAAATATGCCTTTGGCATAAGGATTATTTTGAGCTGATTATTTTTATCGAAGTGCTGACACAGAGAAACTCTGAAAACCCAGTAGAAGTTACCCTTTTGTATATTTATTTGTTTAAGATGTTCTCTTTTCTTTCTTTTAATATATTTTTATTGATTTCAGAGAGGAGGGTAGAGGGAGAGAGAGAAACATCAATGATGAGAGAGAATCATTAATTAGTTGCCTCCTGCCTGTCCTTCTTTGGTGATTGAGCCTACAACATGGGTATGTGCCCTGATTGGGAATTGAACCAGTGACCTCTGGATTCATAGGTTGACACTCAACTACTGGGCAACACTGGCTAGGCTATTTCGTAAGTTTTAACTTCTCTTTCTGGTTAATTTGAAGCATTTCCTAATTCATATTTAAATTAGATAAAAAGTTAGCACATCTACCTAATAAAAAAGTAACATGCTAATCGACTGTACCTTCACAATGCCCACCAGCCAATCAGGAGTGAGTATGCAAATTAACCCAACCAAGATTGTGGTTTAATTTGCATACACAGCCACCATGCTGCCAGGGGCAGGTGGGATGCTTGAATCATCACCATGGCGATGATGCAGGCATTCTGCACCACTCCAGAAGCTCCGGGCCTCAGAGTAGCATGGGAAGACAGAAAGGTGGCTCTGGCCAGAGCGAAGGCAATGCCAGCAGCCAGGGGAAGGAAGACCCATTTTTGCCCGAATCTTTGTGCATCAGGCCTCTAGTTTTAATAAAAATGTATAAGCATTATAAGTTAAAAACGGATCCCAAAGTTTGAGCCCCGGCTTGATTTGAAGAGGAAAACTAGAATTTCCTATACAGAAACATGGAAAGAATGTACCTGATCATGATCAACCTCTACAGGCTGCTTCTTAATGATCCAGGTGACAGACTCGGAGAGCGGTGGGGTAGTCAGGGATCCTGAGTAGGTCCAGTAGTCCGGGCAGGGGGGCATCAGGCAGGCAGGGTCGAACGACCCAAATTCCACTATGGTATCCTGGCCAAGAGGAAGGGTCACCAAACTATCATTTCAGGGTGACGACAACCACCCTGGAAACAGGTGACAAGGCAACAACTCTAAGAGTGTCTGGGGACCGGCCGTGGTCCAGAGGAGCTCCTTCGGTCCTGGACTGAATCACCCCCATGCCTGCAATCAACTCTATTTCTGACACTCCTCAGTGGGAACACAGCAGAACCCATTTTCTCCCTCCATTCTGGTGAGTTTCGGGCAGGTGGTCTCCTCTGAATTCTTGGGGGCATTCAGTGGTGGCTGGTGCACAAATAAGGAGGCTTCCTTTTTCAAGAGATTAATAGTATCCTTTCTAAAATGCAGTGCAAATTAGGAGGAGCCAGGATCCTAGACTCTAAAGGGAGTGAGAAAGAAGAAGAAATGCGGGGAGTGAGGGGGTGGGGAGTGGGGAGATGGGGAGGGAAAGAGGAAGAGAACAACATAGGGACATCCAGGGAGCAGCCCGTTAGGGATTCTGAATATTGAACAGCTGATCTTGGGGCTGGACAAAGGTCTCCATCCTAAAGGCGATGGGTAATTGTTATTTAGAGGTGGACAAGCCAAGCTTCTGCCTGACTTTTCTCTGCTTCCTGCCTGAGGGAGGGTAACTCGAGTCAAGAAGGCAGCTCTACGTGTGTCCACAAGGACTGAGAGGGAGCAGATGGCGGGAGCAGAGGGGGGGCCCATCATGTTCCCAAGTCTTCGAAGGCTCAGGGCATGGCAGCAACACCAGTGGCCAGCACCCACCAAGGAAATTCCTTCTGTACCCTGAGGGCTAGGGGTACTCTCAACACACCAGCACCATAAGCCAAGCTGTTGTCTAGGAAACTTTCAAACAGAATCTGAATTAAACTGAAATTAATTACATTTCCTAATTCAAAGGGCTTTGTTAGTATTTCCACCCTGAGACTTCAACATAAATATATTACAAGTGCTTTTGGAAAAAAAAATATTACCTTATGCTTAATTGATGGTAACGTATCCACCAATTTTTGTAGCTCTTTATGATTTCTCCCTAGCTAAAGAAAAGGCAATGAGGAAATATTAAAAATAATTGGCATCTCACTTTTGAAATTACAACAGAATGTGAATTAAAATTAACCACCTGGTGAGTATATAAAAGCAAACCAACCATACTACTTAAACTATACTTAAACTGGTAATTTAGAATATTATAAATATCACTGAATTAAATTAGAACAGAACAAAAGAGCAGGCTGTTTGCTGACAGGATCAGCATGCCTGCAGGCAAAGATGCCCCTTCATTTATAAGGTCTGAAATTTAAATTCATTAAAATTAAAAACTGTTCCACAGTCAAAGTAACCACAGTTCTAGTGCTGTTGCCACATGTGGCTTTTGACTACTCTATTGGACCGTGCATTTTTACACCATTTAAAATCCTATATACTAAAAGGCTAATATGCAAATTGACCGAACAGCAGAACAGCCAGTCACTATGACATGCCCTATCCACCAGAGGGCAGATGCTCAATGCAGGAGCTGTCCCCTGGTGATCAGTGTGCTTCCCACAGGGGGAGTGCTGCTCAGCCAGAAGCACAGCAGCAGTGGTGGGAGCCTCTCCCCCCTCCATGGATGTCTGACTGATGGCTTAGGCCCACTCCCTCTGCGTCCCCTGAGAGCTCCCAGACTGAGAGGGTGCAGTCTGGGCTGAGGAACTCCCCCTCTGAGTGCACGAATTTCATGCATCAGGCCTCTAGTACATTCATAATAATCTTGTATTTTAACCATTGTTTATTTTTATCCCAATATTCTTAGAACTTAGACATGCAATGTTCTGTCTTTTCATCCTAGAATACTACACATCAATTAAAGTTGGTAACTTTTCTTACCTTTAAAAATACTCCTATCACAGCCAAACCATTTTCTTCCAGTACTGCATCCTCAAAGTTTTCAAATTTGACTGAATTCCAGTGCACCAGGTGCAGCTGAAACACCATTAAAAGTTGGTTTGACACATGACCACATAGGACCGATCAAAAATAGCCTTATTCAACATGATATTTTAACATGTTTCCTCACTCATAATAAAGCCACTGGGAAAAGCATACAGAATCAAAAAAAAAAGAACAAGAAGAAATGTATGCAACAGCAGAAATTAATTTGGACCAGAGACATTTATTTGAGGAGGAAAATAAAAGAAAATAAATAAATAGCAGAGTCAGTAACATTTCAGTGAGGGAGCAACATTTGTCCATTCTCACCCTGATTTGCATGAAACACTCATATCCCCAAACCATTTGCATATACAGGAGAGATGCTTATCTTGAGAGAAATAGATTCTCTTTATGGGAATGAGATAGGAGTTGAAGACATTTCTTTGAGTGAGAACCAGTTAAAATATGTTTCTTTTAAAGCTAACACAAAACTAAATCAGCGGGGAAATTGTTAGAAGAAATTCTATGTACTTATGTGCTTTCTATATTCCACTACAAATGATTCCTCATCCATCATTCATGAATGCTTCATTACCCAGACTCCCAAGTAAGACCCCTCAAGGTCATGCTTACCTTCCTTTCCAAATAGGACCCGCCTCAAGTGCTGTTGCTCTTTGGTTAGAAATGCTTGTTAAATCTCACTCTTTTTGTCTATTTCTTCATTTAGGTTCCCACCATCTCTCACTTGGATTAATTAGATGTAGTAGTCCTGCACTGTTGCCTAGCTTTTCACTCTAGACTGATTTGAATTTAGCTTAGAATTCTGAAAGAAGTCCATTTTGTAATCTTAAGGTTGATCTAAGCTATATTATTTGAGATGAGGGCAATTATCATTTTACATGTAATAATTGGGACTAATCTAATATGCCCCTGAGAGAGCTACTTAGATTTATAGGAATCACCTGATTCTTCCTGAGAATTTCTTCAAACTAGAAACTCAGAACTTTCCCATCCCTCCGCAGTTGTCACTATTCTTGAGCTTTCACAACATACCTCTGCTGGGTAACATTTGCTGTCCACGGTATGCTCAGAGCCCCAGGCATCGATGGCCCCCCAGTGAAAATGGAACTGCTTCAGTCGATAGTTGTCTTCCAGGGGTCCCCCCTTGATCACTGAAATGACACATCCAACACTTGTGGGGCACAGTTTTGCACCCCGTGGAAGATGGAGGGGAAGGCTGAATCTGTGGGTGAAACTCCTATATGAACTGTCTTAAGTGGAACACAGTGTGTTGTATACAAGTGCTTCTAAACTTAATTTCCACGCAGTTCATACATGTCGAAGGGGGAGATTTGCACTCTGAATGACGCTGAGACTTAACTACAGTCCAAGCTGTATACAATTGTTAAAGGCCAACTGTTGATTTATTTTTCATGTTCTACATTTACTGTGCCCAGTTTTTTTGTGGGTACAGTAAAATGTATATTTCTCTTAGCATATATATCCAACCCAATCTCCTAAAACTGAAATATGGGAACAAAAGATATTCTATTTATTTTTTTATGCACTGATACTTGGCTTTTCAGTTTTTGTAGATATCCTTCCCTTTCATTGAAATAGAATAGGAAATTTGCAAGTTAAAAATTATGCTCAAACTGGTTTTGCTCAGTGGATAGAGCATTGGCCTACAAACTGAAGGGTCCCAGGTTCGATTCTGGTCAAGGGCATGTACCTTGGTTGTGGGCACATCCCCTGTGGGGGGTGTGCAGGAGGCAGCTGATTGATGTTTCTCTCTCATCTATGTTTCTAGCTCTCTATCCCTCTCCCTTCTTCTCTATAAAAAAAACAATAAAATATATTAAAAAAGAATTATCATCCATCTCCCTTTGGACAGAGTGAACAATGTAAGTCATCCACACACTTCACCACTATGTTCACCGTGTTGGATAAATACCTTTTATTTAGATTAATGTTTTCTGAAGCTCATGAAATCAATACATTACAGTATACGCAAAATATTTGGGTGTGATTTTTTCAAGTCACTGTTTCTCAGTTTTTGGGTGGTGCTAATTTTCTTCTTTTGTTTGAATTTGCTAAATCATTTTATTTCCTCATTTCTTCCACCTAATCAGACCTTGGATATATCTGTTCATGGTTAAACTAATACAACAACATGAAAACCATCCATCTCATCTATCGTAATGATCTTTAGCATTTATCGCATCATTTGTTAAATTTTATATACACAAATGATTGAGTACAGTGATCCCAAGAACCAAATACACTAGATATGTCATACAATGGTCTTCTATGTATTGTACTGGCTTTTGAAAATATTTTACCTAACTTCCTCTTTAAAAATAAGTTTTGTGAGCAAAGACACCTATAACTTCTTTGGGTGCAGAAAAGTTGAAGAGAATAATACCACATGCTTCACTAAATTAATAGGAAGATGGTACTAAAGTGTACTGATCTATAATAATGAAAGCGTAATATGCTAATTAGACTGGACGTCCTTTCCAGACTCTTCCAGATGATCTGAATGAAGCCGGGCTGCAAGGGAAGCCCGGGTCCTGGGTGCCAGAGGGAAGCTGATGCCAGCAGCCGGGGGAAAGAAGGCCTACTCTTGCACAAATTTGTGCACTAGGCCTCTAGTATAAAAATAAAACATCTCCTCAAAATTCTTATTTTTCTGTGCCATCTCCATATTGTGAGCATGACTTTGGCAAATAATTAACCTAATTTTTTTAATTCAATTGACGTTCTGGTCCCAAGTTTAGTGACCAGGGCAGAGGAGACGGTGAGCTTTTCTCTCCTATCCCCAGAAACACACTGGTAAACTTCCTGGATACTTACGGTGTGTGTCTTCTCCAAAGACAAGGAGCAAGGCAGAGAGGAGATGTCACCAATGGGTGGCTTCAAGGGAGTACAGCAGAACTGGTCTTCAGGTGTGTTTGGAGTCACCCACAGAATACTAAAGACATTTTTACATCCCTTGCCAACATTTAAATCTTGGATGATTTAACATAAAAATCCACACTTTCAACTGAACTTGAAAATGAGACGTCCTGACCATGTTGGGCACATGATTTTACTGGATGACAGTAGGCTGGACTGGAGACATGGTCACCCCCTTTAGATGGTCCCACCAGTTCTGTCTCCCCACCACACTGTAGCTCCTTAAAGGCAAAACCATCCCCTCTTCCTCTTTCTATTATGAGCACCTGGCACAGTGCCTGACACTTAGGAGATCCTCAATGAAAACAGGAACTAAAAAAAAAATAGACTGTAAAGTGTTCGTTAGTTGAAACATCACTTGTAACCTCAACAAGAGCAAGGAAAATGGTGAAGTCAGGCAGGGCAGATGCGTGGATGAGAAGGGCAAGTACAGTTGGCAAGAAATGGGGCAGAAAATGGGCACAGAAGTTAGTGAATTAGAAAGCAGAGCAGTCATAATATATATCAATGATATACTTATTTATTTGAGGTTGTTGATATTTTGTTCTTTCTGTGCTCTGAGAAGAGATTAAACATGTAAAAATTAGATAAGAAATATAAAACACCTAGCACAGTGTCAGCCTATGTAATGTTCACTCCCTTCTATTGCTTTTTAGAAATTTTATCTTTGTTGTTTAAAGTATTACAGATGTCCCCTCCCCTCCCCCATTGACTCTCTCTACCCTATCCCTCCCAGGACTTCCATACTATTGTCTGTATCCATTGAGTTATACATATATATATAAAAATTCTTTGGTTAATCTTTTCCTGCCCCTTCCTCCCCAAAGTAGAGGTGAGGGAGGTAACAGAGAAAGGGATGGTGAAGGAGAAGATAATACACAAGCCCCATACAAATAAAAGGAAATACAGAATGGGCAGGAAACTTTTGGGGGCGATGGAAATGCTCTAAAATGGGATTGTAATAACGGCTCCACCACTCTGCAAATTTACTAAGAACTACTATTTTGTTTTTCCAAAAAAGTAGATGTAGTACCACAAATATGGAAGGAGAACTTAGATTCATTGGTGATGCTCCTGAAAGTGTCAAGTAAGTGAAGCCCAATGGGGCAGGAAGCATCCTTAGGAGAACAACCAAACTCAACTCTTGCTCTTTAATGCCTGATATTGCTGACGAAGTAATTTCAGTGAAGGTGATAATTTATAGGAATCATTTACAGGAATTAGTATAGATATAATTCAGTGCCTTTTCCCACAATATTTTGCATCCCTCATATGCACTCATTAAAATCAATAACTGTTCTATTCAGGGGAGCCAAGCAAAACAATATTCAGCAGAGGACAGTGGTATGAAACACTTACAACCCTTCTCTTACCCTTTTAATTTTTGTAAGGCTGATCGTGATGTGGTATCCCCTCTTTCATTCCTGAGTTTAGTCATTTGAACCTTCCCTTATTTTTCCCCGTTGGTCTACCTAGCCAAACATTTGTCAATTGTTGAACTTTCCAAAAAACCAACTTCTGATTTCACTGATTTCTGCTCTTTATTATGACCTTTCGGTTTACTTTAGGTTTAGTTTGTTATCCTCTCTCTAGTTTCTTAAGGTAGAAGAGTAGGTTATTAATTTGAGAAATTTCTTCTCCAATCCAGGCATTTTCATTTATAAATTTCTCTCTAAGCACTGCTTTTGCTGCATCCCATAAGGTTTGGTATATTTTGTTTTGGTCACATACCTTCCCCAGCTTGGTCCCTCGCACACTTTATCCTCATTTCTTTGTAAATCACACGGAGGCAGCATTTCCTACGGTTTTTTTTTCTGGGAAATTTATAGACATTAGCATTGATTAGATCCTTTATTTTCTAGAATTAGAGTTGTTTCACGCCTTCCTTCCTTTTTAGGATGTCTTTGCTTTCTTTTAATTTTCTTTATTTTTTATGTTCATTCATTCTTTCTTCCTCTTTGAATGTTATTGATTATTTTGAAACAGCATGGAGAAGGAGCAGTGAAGAATAAGCAGGAGATAGGAGGTAGTCACTGAAATGTGGAAAAGAGATAGAGTTATGCACTTATTAAAGATTAATGATATCTGAAAGAAAATAATTATTAAAGCACAATGAAAAGGAGTTACCTATTTTAGTCCTTCCTGACAAAACAAGTGAAAAATTAGCCACCTCCTTACAAACTTTCTTGCATTTTGTAAAAAGAGTGTGAAACTGACTCACTAGGGAAGGAATGACTCAGTTTGCTGTGTTGGTAGGTATTTAGAGAGCTATTATAAGGAAAATGGTTTTTCCCCATATAAGATTGCCCATGCAAATAGCTGGATGAAAATTCTTGGAACTATTGTTCAAATGAGAAAAAGCATGATTGAAAAATAAAACAAAAAGCCCAGCCAGTGTGGCTCAACGGTTGAGCATTGGCCCTTGAACTAGGAGGTCAATATATTATAGTCTCCCAGTTGAGGTGGCATACTCTAAATGTAAGAAGGAAGACACTGATGAATCTGAAGAAAAGGAGTAGTTTCTAGCTTGAGAGATGTAATTAAGATATTTAGGATTTGGGATCATGTAATACCATGGGGAGAAAGAAAAAATGGGGTACAACTTAGAGACACTTAAGCCCTTTAGGACAGACCAGAATACTTTCTGAATCACAGCAAAGAAGTATGGCAGAGGGAAGAGAACCAGCGAGAGATGAGCCCATTACAGGATCAGTCTGTTTGAGTTGGTCAGAGGGCCATGTCTAGGTATCAGAGCATCACTAGAAAAAGTTAAGGAAACCCAAGGTACTGTTGAGAATCCTAGAGCCAGGATAAACACAGGAGTGAATACTGTATTTATGTTTTACATTACGCTTTTACTTCATTTATGAACTTTCACAGACTCATTTCTTCATATTCAGAAGAGGAAATTAATTTTCTTTAAATCAGGATTTCTCTGTCTCAGCTCTATTGATATTTGAAGCTGGAAAACTCTTCATGAATGCTATCCTGCCCATTATAAGATATTTAGCAGCATTGCTGGCCTTGTCCCACTAGATGTCAGTCACACCACCACCCTCCAGTTATGACGACAAATGCCTACAGTCCCTGGGAAAAAATAGGTGGCAAAATTGCCACAGGTTGATAACCTCTCTTTAAAAAGACACGCTATTTCAAATAATAATTATTTCAATGTAAGTTGGACTATTTGATACCATCAAATTGGGCTTGGAAAGGAAAAGAAAAACGAAACCTGTATAGAATTCATCACACTCTAAAGTTTCAGGGAAACTTTGAAATCATTCAGATTAATTTATATCTGACTAAGAGAAAAAAAAGATTCAAGTGCAATATAATGTTTTAATTTTAAAATCTGTTAAAACTGTGCTTTTTGTCTGGCTGGTGTGGCTTAGTAGTTGAGTGTTGACCCATGAACCAAGAAGTCACCAGTAATTTCCAGTCAGGGCCCAGGCCCAGGTTGAGGGCTCAATCCTGATTGATGTGTCTCTCTCATTGAGGTTTCTATCTCTCCTCCTCTCTCTAAAAAAAAAAAATCAATAAAAACACATTAAAAATAAAAAAATAAAAGTATGTTTCTGTTAGGTAACATTGCTTAACTAACAAAATTAACAGACTTGTGAGTTTCCATTTTTCTAATATACTACTAACTTTAGCTAGTTGTTAAGACTAAAACCTCATGCACACATGAATATTATTTTCACCATTTCAGAGGCATTAAAACCTAATCAGTTAAATCTAATTAAATAGTGTTACTATTGACATAAAAGTGTCTTGTAAAGTCAACAAGTAGAGGAAATTAGTACATATTCATAAACCCTACAAAATAAATTTTGGACACAGCTTTTAATTTCACACCCTATCTTCTATATCAGTTATAAATCTATACTTAGAAATAGGTTTATTTAGTAATAAAAATACTACCTATACTACAAGAAAATATGCATAAAAACTTACATTGACAAAGTAAGTCCAATGTGTGCCATCATTGCTAACAAAAGGGGTCGTGCTTCCATGGAGACAGTGTGATACAGCCTGTCCCCATATGAAACTGTGCCTTTAACTCCAGGCGACACTACCAGTCTGGCTCTCACCTGATTTATCTGTAGAATCTTCAAATTCCACAAGGAAAGAGTATCCGTTATTCCAGAGGTGTAGGCAGGTGGTCGGGTCATAAGAGATGGTGAGTGGTTTTAAGTCAGGATCGTAGACACTATCCCTCCACCGGATGTTGATGGGCGACTGGCGCTCGCCCCCCGGGGCCAGGTCCATTCTTTCCCAGAGAGGGTGTACTAGGAGAAAGCACATGGGGACTGCCATCAGGATGTCCCTTATCTGGGATCACACGTCAGGCGGTTCTCTTTGTGGAGATCCTGTTGAAGCTAATGGAAACGAGAAGTCTCAGGACTTAGCCGTTTAGGAGCTTCATGGACTGACGAAAGCAGAAGACATGGACATGGACATGGGCAGGTCAGAGAGCCCTTTGCAGAGGAGCAGCCTCTGGTGTCTTGTCAAACTGCAGCCTCTCAGCGCACCTTCTAATTCCACTTAAATGAAGTGCAACATAGTCTTATGATAACACGAAAAATGCATGGAGATTAGAATTGATAATTTCCTGGGCTCCACCTGCTAAATTAAGTGGTTTTTTTTTAAGGGATATGCCCATTTTACTTGTATTTTTAAATTTCTATTGAATTTATTGAGGTGACATTGATTAATAAAATTACATAGGTTTCAGGTGTACAGTTTTATAGTACACTAGAGGCCCGACGCACAAAATTCATGTATGTGTAGAGTCCCTCGGCCTGGCCACCAATAAGGGCCAATCTGTGGGGTGACCAGTGGGGCGATCAGGGGAGTCCCCCCCGTGGCACCTGCCTTGGCTGGCCTGGTGCCGCCTGCTTGCCAGTCCTGCCCCCACTGTTGTCGATCGTCTACCTCTGCAGGGTAACCAGCAGGGACTTTAGAGGCCCCTGCTGGCACCCACCTTGGCTGGCCTGGGGCCTGCAGGCTGGGGACAGCTCCTGAATTGACCATCTGCCCCCTGATGATCAGTGCTCTAGTGACCAGTGGCTCTACCAGTGGTTCTGCCATTTGGTCAAGTAGCATATTAAGCTTTCATTATATAGGATTATCTGTATATTGTATTATATATTCACTACCCAAAGTCAAGTCTCCTTTCATCACAGTCACCATTTTTCCCCCCTTTACCCTCTTCTACCCCCCCCCACCCCACTCACACCTCTTTCCCTCTGGTAATCACCATATTGTTATCTATGTCTATGAGTTGTTGTGTTTTTGTTTTTGTTTTTCTTACAAGATAGAAACAGGCTCATGGATACAGAGAACAGACTGCTAAACTAGTTTTAAACACAGGATCATATTAAGGTAATTTTCAATAACGCACATATTCAACAAAGTAAATGGGGAAAGAGGAGAAAAATTTTTGGAAAGCAAATGTTCAGTCAATTGCTCTACAGCAGCAGTTCTCAACCTGTGGGAAAAATAAAGCACAATGGTTACCCAAGCAATACAAAAAGGCAGGAGGAGGATGTCTCAGAGGTACAAATGGTAGCCACTGCCAAGCAGTAACAGATAAAGGAAACCAAACATTCTCATGTTTCCATGGCACCCAGGGCTGGTCTGCAGGCCCTGTGACAATAGTCTTCTTAAAGGGCCAGATCAGGGAGCAGGTCTTCAAGAGATAAAGTATTGCCCTGGCTGGTTTGGCTAAGTGGATAGAGCATTGGCCTGGGGACTGAAGGTCCCGGTTTCTATTCTGGTCAAGGGCACATGCCTGCGTTGTGAGCTGGATCCGCAGTGTGGGACATTCAGGAAGCAGCCAATCCATGATTCTTTGTCATCATTGATGTTTCTCTCTCTTCATCTCTCTCTAAAATCAATAAAAATATATTTTTAAAAGAAAAATCTTATATAAATGAAGGAAGGAAGGATGGATGAAAGGCAAGAAGGAAAGAAAAAGCAAGGAAGCAGTGAAGGATGGGAGGAAGGAAGGAAGGAAGGAAGCAAGGGAGGAAGGAAGCAAGGGAGGAAGAGATGGAGGGAAGAAGAAGGAAAGGGAAGGGAAGGGAAGGGAAGGGAAGGGAAGGGAAGGGAAGGGAAGGGAAGGGAAGGGAAGGGTAGGGAAGGGAAGGGAAGGGAAGGGAAGGGAAGGGAAGGGAAGGAAAGGAAAGGATTTTCAACCTTTCTAATGCCACGACCCACAGGTTGAGAACTGCTAGCAGGGTCGCCTAAGACCATCAGAAAACATATTTAGCCGAAACTCGTTTGGCTCAGTGGATAGAGCATCGGCCTGCAGACTGAAAGGTCCCAGGTTCGATTCCGGTCAAGGGCTTATACCTTGTTTGCGGGCACATCCCCAGTGGGGAGTGTGCAGGAGGCAGCTGGTTGATGTTTCTCTCTCATCGATGTTTCTAACTCTCTCTCCCTCTCTCTTCCTCTCTGTAAAAAATCAATGAGATATATAGAAAAAGAAAACATATATTTACATTATGATTCATAACAGTAGCAAAATTACAGATATGAAGTAGCAACAAAAATAATTTTATGGTTGGGGGTCACCACAACATGAGGAACTGTATTAAAGGGTCAAGGCATTAGAAAGTTTGAGAACCACTCCTCTAGGGTTTTGGAAAAGTTAAGAAAGATACTGGTGAATGTGAGAAGATAAGAAGTAATTTCTTCTTAGTTTGAGACATATAATATGTTCAGGATTTAGAGGCCCTGTTGAAGGAGAGCAGAGTGAGTCACCCCAATATCTCTTTGGCACAAGAATTATTTTAGGCTGAATTTTTAAAGAAACAGCTGACACACGAGAAGGTCTGAAAAAGCAGTTATCCTCTTGTAAGAAATGTTGATATTTATAAGGGAGCCTCCATTTATAAGGATGTCTCCCTCTCTGTACCAGGAAGAAGACTAAATCTGTAGACTCTCATCAATGAGAAGGCACTGAATTAAATCTATATAACAACCTTACTCTTGTTTCCTGTGCTTTTCCTGATAACCTCCCATACTAGAGCCCTGCCCCCAAATCCTTTGTCTTTAGCTGAAGACTGTATTTAAGGTGGTGGCTTGGGCCTTTTGGGGGAGTTAATTCAGTTTTCTTGAGTCTCTCCCATATATACAGGTGGTATCCATGTTATTAAACTTTTGTTCATTTTTTTTCTCTTGTTAATCTGTCTTTTATTATTGGAGGGGGTTGGGTCTCAGTCCAGAACCTAGAAGGATAGAGCAAGAATTATTTGTCCTCCCCTACACTGTCATATCAGTCAGAAGAAAGGAAAATGGGGGAAATGGAAATATTTAAGGCCTTTAGGACAGTCTCAAATACTTCTTGAATCACAGCAGAGAAGTACCAAAGAGAACCAGAGAGAGAGAAATCCCATTAGAGGGATTATATGGTCCTATTTAAGTGTGTATGCTAACGTCACCTCTTATGTAAGCTAGATTTGAAGATTACGAAGCCATTATGCAAAACCTGGGTGGAATATTACCATTGCTAAGGTTCCTGGAGGTCTGTTTATTATATTAAGTGTACAGACACATTTTGTCCCACGTGGGCACTGATAACATCACGGATGCTGATTTTTCTACCAAAAATTCAAGAACTAGGTCTTGTAATTGCCCAGGAACTTCATTTCTTTAATATGACTTTCACCCTTAATTCAAGCTACCGTGTTTCCCCATAAATAAGACATCCTCTGAAAATAAGACCTACTTACAGGTTTCCTTCTGAGTGAAACATAAGGCATCCCCTGAAAATAAGGCCCCTCTAGGCTAAACATAAGAGATTTGGTCCACTGATTCTGAAAGAAATGGAGTCACAAGAAATTCACCAGGAAATTCAGGAATTGGATTGTTATCATGATGTTCCAGAAGATGATGACATGATTGTCATTGAATAAATGAGTAAATTCTTGATACTGTAGGATTCACAGTTTGTCTGGTTTGTGTTGACAACTACTGTACTACCGTACTACCGTACCGTATACAGGTAATAAATTTCCTTTATTTTCATTTAACAATAAATGTGTATCATATTCTTCTTCATAGAAAAATAAGACATTCCCTGAGAATAAGACCTAGCGCATCTTTGGGAGCAAAAATTAATATAAGACACTGTCTTATTTTCGGGGAAACAGGGTAGTTTTGTCCAGTCAACAGTAGCACGGCATATTGCATGTCCACTCCCTTAATCACAAAGTCCTTAGGACAGTGGTCGGCAAACTCATTAGTCAACAGAACCAAATATCAACAGTACACCAATTGAAATTTATTTTGAGAGCCGAAAACCGACTTCTGTGCATGGGCCATGAAGTTTCAATTGCGCTGTACGTGCATGCCCATACCTGGTATTTTGTGGAAGAGCCACACTCAAGGGGCCAAAGAGCCACATGTGGCTCGCGAGCCGCAGTTTGTTGATCACTGCCTCAGGACATCAAGTTCTGGTTAGCATCATAAGGTCTTAGGAACAAAACCTCAGGTCTGTTGATCAAGGGATCAGTTTCAAACTGAAGATAACATCTTGGCCTCAGTTGTATGTCAGTCCCAGGCCCATGAAAGCACATCATCTTTACCCTCACAAAACTAGACAGAATGACACCACAGCTGACATCACCACTGGCCCCCAATAATCAGTAGAGCCCATGACCTCAACTCCCTGAGTCACAATGATTAATAATTGTTACCGTATATAATCTGCCCTCATAGAGGCCATTGGGGAGCCAGGTCTTTGAGCATTAGCTCACCTGTGTCTCCAAACTTGGTGCCATTTTCTTAAATAAACCTTTATTTTCTTTGTTGCAAACTCCTGCTGGTGTTTTATTGGGCTTTGATGTATGTAGGCAAATGAACCCCTTTAGTTTGGAACAGTCTTTGTGGCAAGTCCCTGATAAATCTCCACAGGCTTCCTGATAACACAGACAGACCTTTTGAGACATCCATGAATGATGGATTGAACCCACATATATAATTTGGGTGTTATAGTTCTCTGCCCTTTGGAAGCACCATAGGTGGGTAAAACCAAGACCAACAGGGAATCATCACTAATGACCCTCTGCACCTCACCTCACTGCTATGAATGAGTCTAAGGATTTGACAAGGCAGCTGCTATACAGTCATATATCGTTGTGCATGGCAGGGTCCCCGATACTCTTCTTTTCATTAAAAAAACAACAACAAACAAAAACAAAAAAACAGACATTTGCCTGTGATTTACTCTTACATAGGAAACATTCTTCTTTCTGAGGTAGCTGTCCAAAGCTGTGAGTGC